TCGCCAAAAAAGCTAAAAGTCACAAGAGGAAGCAATCTCGACTCTCATCTCGATCTGCACGTGCTTTTTGTCTCCCGCCAGTTACAAAACAATGCGAGTTTTTGCATTTTTTGCAGAATTTCCATAACGAACGTCGGCCCGTTATTTTGAGCTCTGTAACGTTTTTCCGTTATCCGATAACGTCTTTTGTCACGGCTGGGAGTGAGTACCGTAAAAGTTAGCGTTATCGTACTTTTGCTAAGGATGTCTAATGAGCACGACAACACCGTCGATATCAAGGACAAAGAGAAAACAAAACAATCACTGAAAACAGCAAAGAAGAAACAAAGAAACGTACACGATTCCTATATGTTGCCACTGACAACTGGTTCGGTGGAGATGACGCTACTTTTGTTTGTCCCCAGTGGGATCGTTGCTATGCGTATCGAAGGAACTGTGACGTCATCACTTAACAGCCCCATAAAGATAATAATAATAAATATTAGAGAGGTTGCGCACAACAAAAATTCGTTAGATTTCGACCGTCCGGGTTCGAGTAACGAAAGTTGCTCCGAAGATCCGTCCAAACGTGACCGAAACAGAGCAAATCTACGAAAATATTTTTCGTTACCTGGAGTACTAAAATACTGATATTTTACAACTCCCTGTCTTGACTCTTCGTACCCGCGCGGCTGCCGCGTCGACCATGGTCGACCCACTACGAAAACGTTCACGCGTTGTGCGCAACCTCACGGTTTACGAATATTCGTTAGCTTTTTTCGTTAAAAATATTCGTTACGGCGCTACGAATTTTCGTTGTGCGCAACCTCTCTATTATTATTATTTCCGGTATCACGTCGCACAGCATGCTGGAGTTTCCTCATCCGCATTGGCCACGGACAGCTTGCTCTGTGAAAGGAAGAATTTGTTGAGGGTAGCGGCTTTTTGTGCTGGTGTCGTTGCAGGAGTTCGGGTATGCGTTGTTTTACAGCTACTGTAGTTTTGTAGCTGACACCCTGATGGTATACTACAGTCGGGCACGTTGGTGGCCTGGCACGACCGAAAGAAAGAGAAATGTTTCGGTCGTGCCAGGCCACCACCATGCCCGATCATACCATGTATTCAAGAAAGAGCTGCGCAAAAATTCTTGTCATTATTCAGGTCTACTCGCTGGCATGCCGTTACCCTGTTCATCGTAGTCCCCCCCCCCCCCCCTTTCCCAATCTGTACTCTCCTGCACCATCATCCTTCAATGCGACGGACCCCACGTTAGGCGGTCAGCCTTTGGGTCATCCTAATAAAGTTGTTATTATTATTATTATACCGTTACGGGCGTAGGCATTCTATGAAGCTTCACATGAAACAATGCTAGCACACAGCTGCGCACCTGGATTATTATGATTATTATTATTATTTTACAAGAAGTCGGAGGCGGATAATGCTTTAAGAACGAAGGTATATGTTGGGTCGTAAGTATCCACGCAAACACACATCCAGTCAAAATAAGGCACTTGTCAAAGTATCCGAACGTTTTCGGTCCCTTCTCATCAAGGATTATACAGGGAATGGCTCAAGTTGGAAAGACTAAAACTTATATAGCGTAAAGATATGAGATAACAACACTCGTGACAAGGTGGAAAATTATCAAGTTCAGCACGACACAAAACTCGAAGGAAATAATAATAGTGACAAGAACATAGTGAGCAAATTAAGTATTATTATTATTATTATTATTATTATTTGAAACTCGGGTATTGAGCCAATAATAAAAGTAGAAAGGAAAAGGACATATGGATACGAGTTTAGAGTAACTCTCCATCACTGTAACATGATACTATATACAGTCAGAAAGTGCAATAACTAGGCACAAAACTGACAGAGTACTGAGACATTCGACGTCCTGACACCTAACTTTAACACATCTCCGTAGCGCTAACCGACAGCCTTCCAACTTGGAAGGTTCAAGGTTATGGAAAGACCAAAGAGGGGAAGGCAAGCGCAACGAAAACGAGCACAAGCTACAGGCAAAATGGAACAAAGAATGTCGATTGTCACTGGACGATGACGAGACCAGTAGGCGATTTGACAAAGCGGTCTAACTACAATTCGAAGCAGCAAAGCAGCACACCACCCAACTTGGGTGGGTCAAAAATATCAAAGATAAGTTAAGAAGGGGGAAGCTTTGCGAGAACGAATTGTACAAGCCGAAATTGTCAAATCGCTTTGTCAAATCGCCTACTGGTCTCGTCATCGTCCAGTGACAATCGACATTCTTTGTTCCATTGGGACTGTAGCTTGTGCTCGTCCTGTCCGGATTCTGAAAACGCGAACTAAAAACACCGCGAAAATTTCACGTTTTACAGTATTCGAGATCTGGTTGCACTGAGCTAATGTACAGTAAAACCTGTGACTAACGACCACAACTTGGGGCCAGAGAAAGCGGTCTTTAGTGGCAGGTGGTCCTTACTTAGAGGTTTGCACCCCCTGCCATAATGAATGTGACACCATCCGTGCCAGGCTGGCGAAGTGGCGCAGGGGGGGGGGGGGGCAAGTGCACCCCCAAACATTTTGACCTAGGTTCAGCATGGCCATCCTAAACAGTAGACACACATGTATGCGGCTGTGCACCTCCTAAAAAGGGGACCAGCCACGCCCCTTGCACTGAGCGACACTCGATTCCCCAAAGATGTTGCGGAAGTCTCACCACTAGGCATGGGCGGGTAACAGGTCCGTAATGCTAGTTAATTGCTGCGATAATGCTAAAGGCAATGCTCATAATATGAGGATATAATGCCGCTGATGAGGAGCCATTTACTCAGGAAGAAGTTCGAGCAGCAATCTCACGGCAAAAACCGGGTGGTGCTGTTGGACAGGATGGAGTTTCCGCTGTTTTGCTGCAGGCCGGTAAAGATGCAATCACCACTTGGTTAACAACATTCTTCAACGCTGTTCAACTGGCAAAGTATTGTCCAGAAGACCTCAGACGCGGTTTGATCGTGCCCATATATAAGCCAAATAAGCCAGCCGGCTTCCCGAAAAGTTACTGACCAGTTATGCTTCTGTCGGTGGTCAGAAAGGTCCTGAACCGTATTCTCACACAGCGCTGCACTACATTCGTGGACTCCAGTGGCGTAGCCAGGGGGGGTGCTTTGGGTGCCCAAGCACCCCCCTCAAAAATTTCAGGTACCATTTTCGTACTGCTGTGGATCTACGCCCGCCCGCGATCGAGACTCGACGTCGACAAGATCGACGCCACACGACGCTGCGCTGCACGACGGGGCCCGGCCAACTGTATTACACTAGTACTAGTAGCGCATGCAGGTTGCACTTGAGACTGCATGCATGGCTGCACATGCAGTCATGTTCTCGCCGGTGACAGGCGCAGTAGTGCTAAATTATTAATTTTTAGTACAATGTAGTACTACCGGTACTGTAATTTGAACTAGTACTACCGTGGTAGTATAGTTGTGTGTAGATCTTTGCCTTTGAATGTGAGTTTGGTCGTTTTCGGATGCACTGCGCATTGTACAACTACCGGTATATAGACTCGCACTTTGTGTAGCTAGACTTGGTAGAAGTGAAAGAGAAGTGTCAACGTCGTTTTGTGATCCGCAAGTCGAATGGATTCTTATGAAAATGTCGATCTTGAAGTATTTTAGTCGAGGGAAGTCGAAGAGACCAGATACCAGTAGCAGCAGTGCCAGTGCCAATTGTCTGTATTATATTCTGGGTCTAACCACACTCTGTCAATCTCTTACCATCCAACTTCTGTAGCAAAGTACTGTGCGTTTCATACGATTATCTGACTTTTTATTGAATCATTGGTGGAATGGAAAATAATGAAATAGATGCAAAATGAAGGATTTGGCACTCAATATCGAAAATTTTTCCCGGGGGAGGGCCCCCGGACCCCCCCCATTTTTCGCGCCCTTCCGGCGCACGCCCACACTTCCAGTAAGCACCCCCCTCAGCCACAATCCTGGCTACGCCCCTGGACTCCTTTGTGCCTGAAAGCCAGGCTGGCTTCCGCCCTGGGCGGTCGACTGCGGACGGAGTATTCTTCACAAGAATGATGTGCGAGAGGGCCTTGCTAGGAGACTGGAGTTACTCAGCGGCGCTTTTAGATTTCAGTGGCGCATTTGATACAATAATCAGGCAGACTGCTGTTGACCGGCTGGCTTCGGCAGGTGCACATGTTAGCACTATTCAGCAACTAGTCTCCAAAACCTCTGCTCGCGTGAAGCTGGGAAAGCAGCTCAGTCAGTCATTTCCAACTAATGTTGGAGTGGTGCAGGGGGACCCCCTGTCACCCCTTATGTATATTGTCTACGCAGAAGGTGCAATGCAGAGGATCAGAGAAGTCTGCCCAGAACAAGTCAATCTACCTACTAAGTTCACCCTGTATGCAGATGATACAACAGTGCATGACCACAGCCGGACAGCAGTTGAAGCGACCGTAGAGAAATGCGAACCCATCTTCGCAGACGACAACTTAAAACTAAACATCAGCAAAACACAATTTGTAACAGCTACAAAGTCAGATGCCTCCTGGAGGTCGGTCAAACTGTTGGGTTCTCGTCTGGGGTCAGCGGAGGACATTGATGCACGTATCATAGCAGCGAACCGGGCATTTTCCAGTGTATCATGGAAACGCCATACCCAGCAGTCCCGCTTAAGCATGTTCAACTGTCTCATTTTGCCAGTTCTCCTATATAACTGCGCGCTATGGACTCTACCAAAAGCCTTAGAAAGCAAAATTGATGTATGGCACCGCCGTAAACTCAGATACATACTTGGAATCATCTTTCCCAATAAAATTTCGAATAATGCTCTTTATGCTAAAACTGCTCAATGCCCAATAAGTGCAGTCTGTAGACGCCGGCGCTTATTATGGTTTGGACATGTCATTCGTGAAGGGAAGGACGCTGTGTCCTACAAAGCCCTTCACATGGCAATGAGTATAGCAGATATAAAGAAGCCCAGAGGTCGCCCAGTGACCAGATGGGTAGACAACATTAGGAATGACCTTTTACTTCTCAATATGTCTCTTTTGGAAGCGGAGCAACTTGCCTCAGACAGAACGCACTGGCTCGACGTTGTCGACAGATGCATGACCCTCATTTGATTTTTCATATGAGCTATATGCGTGCTGTATTATTATTAATGCCGCTTATAATGCTCACACTACTCCATAATGCCAGTTTGAAAGTTGGAAAAGTCGATTTAAGAAGGCCGTCTTGGATCAAGGCCAAAGCGTAGAAGAAAAAAACTAAAAACAGCAGTGAGCATATCGTCTGAAACAATCCACTGAGAAGGTTGATTTGCAACGTCAAGTCTCCGGACGAAGCCGGACAGGTTCAGATGCACGATTTTCGGAACTGGACTTAGCCAGCTTCATGCATGACACCGTTGTCGACCGGCAATTATGCTTGTAATGCCAATTTTGCATGCGAAATGGTGTTACAATGCCAGCATTATACCACCTGGAAAAAGTGGACTATAATGCCAGCCATTATGCTAGCATTACCTGCCCATGCCTACTCACCACCCTCTTCCTGAAATAATCGTATTGAACAAAATACCAGCAAAAAAACAATATAATTTAATTGCATCGTTCCTGCTGCGAAGGGCAGGATTGAAAGAGAAAGCAAAGAAAACATGGGTTAAAAGAAAAGGTGCAGCCAATCACGGATTGAAAGGAAGAGCACAGACAAGAATGGATTGAAAGGAAGAGCGCAGCCAATCACGGGGAGAAAGAGAAAGCACAGATAAGGACGGGAAGCCAATGAGGTGTGGCTGCAGACGACAGCAACTGGTTGGCTTAATGAATCTGTTATGCGTGCGTTATACACTGATTCGTAGAGTCCACATATTGACCCATTGCGCACACTCCTGTATAACATCACAGCACCCAGAACAACAAACAAAACAACAACAACATCAAAAATAATAGCAATCTAAGGTTTTCATTGACACAACAGACAGGAGTAGACCAACACGGCCTCTGGAACGTTTTATTTGTTATCACATTATAAAAAATTCACACAAATTAAGTGTCAGCATACACACAATGTCATAACAAACATTTCTATAATAATAATCATACCGCTTGCATGTCTTTATCTCTAAACATTTCCTCATATAATTTTCTTCATCTTTCTGTGAGAACCGGACCTATGGGCCGGTAAGAAGGCAATCATGCCTGTGCAATTGGTGAAGTAAAATAAAAGTCAACAACAACAACAAATGCAAAGTAAAACCTGTGAAGTAGACCACTTGGATAAGGCGACCACCTGTCCAAGAAGACCACTGAAACCAGGACCAAGGGATGCTGTTTCCAGTCAATTGACCCTGGATAAGGAGACCACCTGGTAACAGAGACCACGTTTTGAAGGTCCCTTGAGCGGTCGTCTTAGACAGGTTCACTGTATCTCATTGATCACCGTTAATTCGATCATCGGAGTGCATGTATAAGCTGTACCCCCTTTTGGGGGGGGGGGGGTGAATTTTGAGTGTTGAAAGTGCGGCTTATACTCTGGAATATACGGTACGTGGCAAACATTCGAGATCCCGTCACTACATAATAATTGGCCAGGTCGCACAATGCAGGATGTACTGTTGTTTTAGTTAGATCTACAACTATAGACAGTGAAAGCTGTCTAAGACGACCGCTCAAGGGACCTTCAAAATGTGGTCTCTGTTACCAGGTGGTCTCCTTATCCAGGGTCATTTGACTGGAAACAGCATCCCTTGGTCCTGGTTTCAGTGGTCTTCTGGGACAGGTGGTCACGTTATCCGAGTGGTCTCCTTCACAGGTCTCACTGCACATGCATATTGAGAACTCAGCCAAGATTACTACCATCACATTGACTAACTTGAAAAACAGTGAAACCAGTCTAAGGCGACCACTCAAGGGACGAGAAAAAGTGGTCACCTTGGCCAGGTGGCCTTCTTATCCAGGTTCAGTGGGTCACGTGAACAGATTTACTATACAATCAGTCGCATGTCCGTGTGGTGCACAGTGCAATGCGTGCATGTACACATGTACATGTCAGTAGTGTGCAAACGCCGCGGTCGCGCGTGGGTGCCCGTCAGTCGTGTGAAGCGAGGGGTTGCCTTATCCGAGCTGTTTTGAATGTGAATGCGTCCATGACAAGGACAAGTGGTCGCCATGGTCGAGTGGTTGCCATGGTCGAGTGGTTGCCATGGTCGAGTGGTTGCCATGGTCGAGTGGTTGCCATGGTCGAGTGGTTGCCATGGTCGAGTGGTTGCCATGGTCGAGTGGTTGCCATGGTCGAGTGGTTGCCATGGTCGAGTGGTTGCCATGGTCGAGTGGTTGCCATGGTCGAGTGGTTGCCATGGTCGAGTGGTTGCCATGGTCGAGTGGTCGCCATTACAGGTTTTACTATACATGTGCTGGTAGTACCAACCAGAAAAAGAAAAAGAAAAAGAAAAAGAAAAAGAAAAAGAAAAAGAAAAAGAAAAAGAAAAAGAAAAAGAAAGGCGTCATATGACCCACAAGTTTGCCCAAACTGCATAAATTTCAGCAAAGTCGACTGCCCACCTCTGTAACTAGATGCTGTATCCATATCCATAATATCCATATCCATATCCATTGGCTACCTCGTGTCTCACTGCTCCCACCTGCCGCTTGAATGCGTTCGCCTTTTTTATCATTGCTATATTCTCACCATTTTTCTCTATTGCTCAACCGCCTGGTCATCCCTACTAAGTAAATCGTTAATGAGTACCCTGGAAGTCCACAATAAGAGGATACTCAAAGTCCTTTTCCGCAAACCATCATACTTTCCTTCTGCCGAGCTGTATGATATGTTTAACACCTTCCCTATCTCTAGTCAAGCGGATCGAAAACTGTGTATTGTTGTTCTTTCTATTCGTCTTTACAAAGCCCCGCCACACTTGCGTAAATATAACTGGTTTCTTCCCACTCGTCCTACTCACAATCCCTGCACTTTACCTAAAGCCCGAACATCAGCTTATACCAGATCTCCGTTTTTCGCTGCCTATTCTTTCTGGCTAGCCCTGCCTCTATCAGTAAAATCGTCTTGTCCTCTAAATGATTTCAAGGCCAACATGAAGCTCGTGTTCTAATAACTGCTAATTCTTCATCCAGATTTGTTTCTCTTTGCCTCCAGTATAAATGTGTAATATTTATTTTATTTTTTTGCTTTGTTTTTCTTTACTGCCATGGCTGGCTACCGCCCCCCCCCCCCCCTCCCTCCATATCGGCCTATATTCTCTGGCCACGAGAAGGTGAAATAAATAAATAACTAAATAAATATCCATATCCATATCCATACCCATATCCATACCCATCCATACGTCCCTTTCCTTTCTACATTAGAGAGGTTTCGTTTCAATTTGTTCTGCACTACACCGTGAAACTCGCGTTCACGTCGAACGTGAGTTGACCTCAGCTCACGTCATGAACGGGAGCTTCGACGCCTTAACTCCATAAATGTTGGATGAGTCTGTATAAGGTATCATACAGCACTGGCAATCCAGACCGTGTGTCTACGTGCACCTTGAGCAAACGGAAAAGATCATCGTGTTTGAAATACAACGGGGCAGCGACTTACGAATGCAGACAGGACTGTACTGCTTGTTCGGTTTAGGATTCAGGAATCCGACCCTTCCTGACGATCTGACCTTGGCAATCCTGATCGAGCCATCGTTGACCTTGACCGGGACGAAAAATGGCACCTTGACACCGAGTTTTCCCAAAGCTTGTGTAAACAGGCTAGCGTGGTTGTCTCCGCCTTCGACCACTGTCGGTATGGTCATGTTGATGGCCGAGCAGAGCATGGGGACCATCCACAGGCTACCGCTGCCTAAGCTTGATGCGGATTTGAGCGCCACGCGTGACTGTCTCATGTTTCCAACCAGTGTGTGCCTCCAGGTAGCTGTGAAAACACATCAGACATTATAGCAGTAAGCATTTTGCAGATCTCAAGCAGGACCGGCAGGAGATTTTTGATTGTGTCCAGCCTCACCCTAGCCTGTCATACTTTGTGTATGATATGATGGCTACACGTGACCTAGCCATCAGTTATCATGCGCTGGCAGTCAAAACCTTGGTCCGGCCATACCCTAGCCTTTCCTACTTGCTTCATGATATGGATGGTATACACATGAGCTACAATGCAGTCAACTTGCGCTGGTGGTCAAGAAATTGGCCGAGTCTCGCACGAACCGTCATTTTTTTTGGACGAAAACACTTTTTTGGAGAGAAGTGAGATCACCAGCATTTGAATCAGGACCCCAAACTGCACCGACTCTGAAATTATCATTTTTCACCCGACTCCCCCATTAGGAAAATGCATGTACCGTATTTTCCGGAGTATAAGGCACACTTTGAACACTCAAAATTCACCCAAAAAAAGGGATGCGGTTTATACTCCGATGATCAAATTAACGGTGATGAATAGTGTAGATGTCTGTATTTTGTGGCAAAAATGGGAGGTGGGGGGGGGGGAAATGGGAGGGGGGGAAATGGGAGGGGGGGGGGGAGTGCGGATTACACTCTAGTGTGGCCTGTACTTCGGAAGCAGTTTTTGATTAGCCCAGTAGTTTGGTGGCCTTTCACCCGCTGTGTATGATATGGCGGGTACACATGCCCTCCTCAGTAGGAAACACGTGTTGGTGGCCTTAAGGTTGGTCCGGTGATAACCTAACCAACCGAACCGGTTCCAGTGGCAGGTCTGATGCCATAGACAGCAGTACAGCAAGCAGCTGAGGAGAGCACAGCAAGCAGCTGAGGAGAGCAGAGAAAGCAGCTGAGGAGAGCAGAGAAAGCAGTGGAAGAGAGCAGAGAAAGCAGCTGAGGAGAGCAGGGAAAGCAGCTGAGGTGAACTGACCTTCACAGATGACATCACTGGCTGCGTTGCCGACGACAACAGGATTGGGCATGGTGAATCTCGGCTGCAAGTTCTGCCGACCAAGGCTGTACAGGTATTTGGCGTCGCTGCTGCTGTTGAGCCAGACGGTCATCTGCTCGTGATATCCGCCCATGAAAAGGTCCGTGGCCAGTCGATGGAACGCCATGCCGGCTATGCTGTTCATCAATACCTTCCTCGCAATGTCCATTGACCAGGCAGCGCATGCCGCCTGGGCATCTTTCCAGACGGCGCGGCCATTTCCGGCGCATTGCTTCGGGGTTTGGTCGCTTGGCGTGCAGCCTGCAGTCGCTGGTGCTAGCCATAACGTGATGGTTTGGCCTAAAACAGAGGCCATGGCACCTGTGTACACAAGAGAAATGGACAACAGCCAATGGAATAAGCCCACTGCGAATTGCCAGCAGCAGCATCAATAGCAGCAGCAAAAAATCAATAACGGAGATGGAACCAGCGACCACTAATCACACTACCGTCATGACGGAAGTAGCATATTGTGATTGACATCACGCCATCTCCACAAGCAGAATCATGGAACAGATGTACGAGGCGAGAAGCGACAAACTTACGCTTTTCACATCGCTTGCCAAGCCAGCCAGGTAGACACCTGCATACTGGAACACTGGATGTAGACGTGTCCAAGAATCCATTATTGCATAAGACTAATGCACATAGGAGGACACAGGAAATGTAAGACACAAAGTCAGTGAATCAGTGAGGTGACAGCAACAGAAAAAGGTTTGAGGACAAGATTTTTTTGCGATGATCACATCTTACAAAGCCAAAAAAATTAAAAATTGCGCAATGGAGCATAGTGATGATGAGCCTTGTTGTCCTTAGCAGACCTGAGGTCTCGGGGTTATGGGCATATCAAACACGCCAAAAAGAAGAGAGAGAGAGAGAGAGAGAGAGAGAGAGAGAGAGAGAGAGAGAGAGAGAGAGAGAGAGAGAGAAGAGAGAGAGAGAGAGAGAGAGAGAGAGAGAGGGAGGGCCAGGTACATAACGTGACATGTTAGGAGGAGAGACACTACATTAGGAGAGGAAAAAATAGGACAGACAGTGTTAGGAGGAGAAGGAGAGAAAAGAATTTGTTTGTCGCCGAAGAAAAGCTCAAAGCACATCAGTGAGGTGGGGCTTACCGAAACAGAGAGCCCGGTAGTGTTTTGCTGGATCGGCAACGGTAAACGTAGCGACACCCTCCGCAGATATGCTGACAACGGTAGGGCCGGCTGCTGAGCTGGCAACATAGTACGGACCGCTAGAGTTCTTCCCAATGGACGTGTACTCGCTCTGGAGAACTCCGCTCCAATCAGATATCATCTCCTTCGTCGCCAGGTAGTAACCGATAGTGGAACAGTGGCTAGATGCATCCTCGTAGGAAGTATAGATTTTGTCTTGTTTTGCAATAGAAGACCGGCTGAATACTCCCACTGATGCTGGCAGGTAGGTCCATTGTTCTGGAAATTGCAGGCGCAAGGACACAAAACGAGAAAAGAAGCCATGTGATGAATAGATGAGGTCGCTGGCTACTGACCTGAATAAGGGGCCCTTGCTATAGGCCAATAATGGCCTACCACTAAACTAAGATACAGTGCGCATGAACAGAGTGCATACTTTTAGAATGTGTAGATCAGGTTTCGTGACAAGTCAAATATCGTAACATTTTGTTTCCTCCCCACCCAAGGAGTGTTGTTATATCCACTCTCCACTGTAGGCATCATCCCAGCAGAGACCGTCCAACCTTTTCTTCAGACTTTTAAACCCAGAGTTCCTGTAACACTGCACTGGCTAGAGGATGAGAATAGCATTGAGATTCATTGTCGGTGAAAGTGGGAAAAGCCTGAAAGAAATATGGCCTCACATCACCATGACTTTAAATGTAATATCGTTCAACATCGTTTCTCAATCCTGGTTCATAGCCAATACAGATATACATTATGTCTCTCTCTCTCTCTCTCTCTCTCTCTCTCTCTCTCTCTCTCTCTCTCTCTCTCTCTCTCTCTCTCTCTCTCTCTCTCTCTCTCTATCTCTATCTCTTTCTCTCTCTCTTTCTCTCTCCCCTCCCCCTCTCTCTCTCTCTCTTGTTCTTTCTTCGGTGCCGGCAAGAGAAAATATCACAGCAAACCGAATGAAGGCCAAAAGGATTTCACTAGCAAAATAACTACTCTTGAAGGCAACTTCACTTACTGAAAGGTCAATAGAACATTGGATACTGAATTGAATTGACAAATTGGCCACGCAGGATTCAGCAGTCATGTGATATTCTGTACACATGTACAGTTGCACCTATAACTACAGTCCATTTCAAAACTATAGACGCGTACCTAGGCAAAAACCGTTATGCCAGCATCAATACCACATAAAATCTGTGATCACTTTGTGCATAATTTTTTCCAAATTGGGCGTCTGTTATCCAATCGTTTAGAAACTATATGAGAGTAATTGTGGAGCGGACCTGAGCAATATTCCGAAAACGATTCTCAAAAAGTTCCAGCCAAATTTGAAATATTTCAAAAACCCTACGCGTCTATAGTTTTGAAATGGACTGTAAAGACCACCGTGACTAGCGACCAGCCTGGTACTACCCGGGGCGTAGCAGCCGCTCCG